CTTTTATCACAGAGCTTAAAAAGGAGGAAAAAGTAGAGAATGGTCTCAGGAATATAGGACCTTTGGTCACTCCCAGGTGATAGTTTGCATCTGCAGCTGCCTCTCCATTACCTTTACTGCCATACAACCACACATAGTTTTCTCCTTCTTATATTTTATAGAATCCTAAAGGTGCCCTATATGTGGCTTTCACTTACTTAGCTGGACTCACTGGAGTTGTTATTACATTGTGCCTCATACTGATCATAACCTCCTCTACCAAAACAATCCGGAGGTCTTACTTCGAAGTTTTTTGGTTCACTCATCACCTCTTTGTTATCTTCTTCATTGGTCTCGCCATCCATGGAGCTGGGTGAGTAATGAACTGGACAGAACTCCAGTGAGTATCTGAGAATTATTGGTTTAAATATTTATGGTAAAGGATGGTAAGAGGACAGTTGAGCTGCCAACATTGATCAGTATGTTTATTGCTGTGATGTAGGGTTGTCATAGAGTGAATTTGATTTATAGTATACCAGGACATGGTTTTGAGTCCTGATTCTGGCACTGATTAGCAATGTAATCACAGTCAAGTGACTTATCCTTTATGAGTCTCAATTTTCTCTTCTATAAGATGGGGATAAAGACAGATTGGTACAAGGGATAGAATGCTGAGCTTGGAGTAAGAAAGACTTGGGTTCAAATCCCACCTCTGATTTTGGTTGTGTGACCTGAGGATGTCATTTAATCTCTGTGTGTCTCAAATAATTCCCTAGCATTTATGCACTAAATAAAATATAAAATAGGGGCAGCTAGGTGGTGCAGTGGATAGAATGCTGGGTCTGGAGTCAGGAGGACCTGAGTCAAATCCACCCTCAGACACTTACTAGCTGTGTGACCCAGGGCAAGTCCCTTAACCTTGATTGCCTTAGTTTCCTCATCTATAAAATAAGATGGAGGAGGAAATGGCAAACCACTCCAGTATCTTTGCCAAGACAACCCCAAAGAAAGTCACAAAGAATTAGACACAAGTGAAACAACTGAACAACAATAACTAGGATCTCTATTGGTGAATACTTTCATCATGGGAATTTTCCCTACATTCATGAAATCACATACCCTGGAAACATGTATATGTGTAAAATAGAGTTAATAAAACTTAGCCTACCTACTTCTCAGGATTGTGAGGGACATACTTTGTAGACTTTAAAGCACCATATAAATGAGATTATTATTGATGAAGATTGAAATTCAATTTTAATACGTTAATCAATTACTGATGGAGTACATGCATCATTTCCCCTTTTGCCAATCCAAATTTTTCAGAATCTGGTTATTTTGTTAACCAAAATTTCATGGTTCTGAAGTTATATAAAAAGCATCAAAGGTATCCCTTAGAAAAGAAAGGAATAGTAGTCACATTTAAAATGTATTCAAAATAACTGAAAACAAAATTCATTTCCTTTCTACTAATTAATCTGATTTTTCTTCTCCTTTCCTTTCCATATCTCCTCCCCACCTCACCCCTACCCTGCAACAGGAGGATTGTACGTGGACAGACAGATGCGAGTATGGATGTTCACAATTCAACAGTATGCTGGAAAGACATCTACTCTTGGGGATCCAAAAAAAGCTGTCCTATCCCTCAATTTGCTGGCAACCCTCCTATGGTATAACATATTATGTCTTCATTACCATCTTATCAATGACAATCTATTGTTTTTATTGTTCATCCTTGTTTTTTTCTGAGAGAACCAATGACACCACAGGGTGATGTCTTCACTTGAAAATGACAATCTATAATGAAGTGTTGAATATATCAGAGTATATGTGTACATGCAACTGAATTGCTTTTTGCAGATGCAATGAAGCTTACTTAGGGTAGAGCACTTTCTGTCTAAAGACCTGACCAGAGAGACAAGCATTTGACATACCAAAAAGCAATCTCCGCTGCCATTCCAGAGCCATGATTTGCAAACATATTTCTAATAACAAATAGCCAATATGTTATATACCTGAATAAGACATTATTTTAAAAAGTGTAATTCTCCCCTTCCAGCTCAGGGTCACAATAACATATCTGACAGGGTTACAAAGGGAGAAAACTCCACCTGTTTATTCTCTACTGAGAGAATTCTATGTCTAGTTTGAGCAGAGAATTAAAGATATCCTGAACCAATAACTTCCTCTGCAGCTTTCATATCAGAAGAAAGAAATTGGTGGTAGGGGTGCCACAGCACTGTTGCTGGATAAGCCAGGGAAGCCTGCATTTAAGGCTACCAGGCCAGTCCTTGACTAAGACCATGAAGGCATATTTTCATTAGTCTGAACTGGCCCTAAACATAAGGGGCATCCATAGAGAGGAGAATGGTGACGCATTTGCCTTTCTCAAGATAAATCCTTCCAGAGCTTCATTTTAAGGGTTTTTAATGGTCTGCTCTGCTTCACAAGCAGGAAGCAGAATATCGAAACTTGGAGTTGGGAAATCTGAGTTTGAGACCTGGCTGTGTAACTTAGCTATATGGCCTTGGCTGGTTCTTTATCTTCACCTCTCTGGTCCTCATTCTCCTGCAGAAAATGAGGAAGCTAAACTCAACAGGCTCAATAGCCCCTTCTAACAGCCTACAAGTGACTGATCATATTCTATGTTGACAAAATTTTGAAGTTTTTCTTCCACGTTTGGTGATCCCCTGTGCTAACCATAAAATGAAAAGAAAACACTGCAATTTATGTCATCTGAATGGATTTACATCATTTTCTTGGCCACTTGTTCCTTAGACTAAGCAAAACCTAAAATGATGGCTCTTTCCTAATCCCTCTCTCCCCTCCTCTTATCCTCTGGAATCCTGTTTGCCTTCTCAGACAATTCTGAGATGCAAGAACATTGATTTATGGTCCCTGTGAGATTTGGCAACACAGCCTGACCTCAAAGCCAGGAAGTCCTGGATTCAAGAGCTACCTGTGATATACAGATTGTGTGACCCTAAGCAAATCGCCAGTCTCTTGGTGTTCCAGGCACCTCTATTAAACCCTTAAGTTTCAGAGAAGGTGCTGACTTGCATTGGTCAAAGGAGTTCTTCCCAGGAGATCCCTATACCAATGAAATCAGAGGTCTAGTCCCTATCCTTATGATATTTGAACATTTCCAACTGATATTCCCATCAGAAAGAAATATAAAGGAGAAGGGAGCAAGCACTTATTAAATACCTACTATGTGCCCTTACTATGTGCCAGGCACTGTGATAAGCACTTTAGAAATATTATGCCATCTGATGCCCACAACAATCCTATGAGACAGATACTATCATTATCCCCATTTTACAGATAGGAAACAAAGGCAGACACTGATTAAGTGACTTGCTCAGGGTCTCATAAACCTGGAGCCAGATTTGAATTGAGATCTTCTTGGTTCCAAGCCCAGCTCTTTAATCACTGCACCCCTCAACTGCCTTTCCCACAAAGATGAATGAATTGCTACACTGCACATAGACATTAATAGGGAAAAGAAAAAGAAAAATGCATAGTCATCCATATGTCAGATGAAAGACATAATTCCTTGATGACAGGATCCAGGCCCAAAGGCTCCATGAGGTAGCTTTCAGTGTTATGAGGACCTCAAAGAGAAAAAAAATAGACTTTTTTTCTCTCTCATCACACTGTCAAGGATAGATGGAACCCACTTTGTAGAAATCCTACCATAATACAGTTTTGGCCACGGGTAGCAAGGCGATTTTCCTGGCCTACTATTTAACAGCTATCTAATCCTAAATGGAAGTGGGCATTTTAAATATAAATGACTTATTTTACCAAGGCTCACAGAGATGTGAATGGTCCAAGGGCATAGAGCAGGCCTGAGCAAGCTGCTCCTGAATGGCAGAGCCAGGCGTTTCTGCCGATGCTAAGTCTCACTATAGCTACAACTTCTACGATGTAAAATAGAGCATGGTCTCCTGAAAACATATGGAATAAAGCCTCTCTGGGATGTATTGTGAGGAAATAATTCTCCACAGGAGTTTCTTGCTCTTCTAGGCAATTAGTCCCACAGCCATTTAAACCAAAAACCAAAACCAAATAAACCTCAAATCTGAGATTCTATAAGTTTTTTTCTTGATTTAAGATTTTTCTTGTTTTTTTCTTTATTTTTTTCTTGATTTAATTGCTTGATTTCTTATTTATGGAGGAGTGTAAGATTTTAAAGCTAAAAGAGACTGTATATATAATCTAATCCAGCGTCTTCATTTTATAAATGAGGAAATTGAGGTTCAGATTGAAGATATGACTTGTTCGTGACCTCACAGAAAATAAATAGCAGAGTGAGAATTCCAACCCAGGTCTTCCACCCCCAAGTTCAATGGCTTTCCCTTCACATTAGAGTCTGGGTAACATCTTTTAACAAAGATCTGTTGCCATTTCAGCCTCTTGATGGTGTCCAGGATGGACCTACCTCATACTGAATTCCATTCATTAGTCAATAGTGATACTGAGGGTAGAATATCTTAGGAGTTACTCTGGGTATCCTGAGCCAGAGAGGCTGAAGGGAATTCAACCCAATCCAATGCAATACATTTTTTATTGAATTTTTACTGTAATCAGGGCTCTGTGCTTGGTGCTGCCAGAAGAAGCTGTCATTCTTACTCAGGCTTTGCCCCTATTAAAGAAGCATATTGCATAGTTCTCAAATCTTACATGTTATGAGGGTAACAGCTACCAATATTGCATCAGATTTATAGTCTTGCAATCACAGTATGGATTCTGTGGCAGTTGTAAAGCAACTGCAATGTTGCATTAAATATATGGTGTTGTTGAAATGCTACCCTTTAGGAAATACTTCTTCTGTAACCAACCTAGTTTCCAGTATAATTGTTGCAACTGCACTTGCAACACAGAGGAAATCCCACTTTTCTGCGGAGTTCTGCTTGGAAAGTTTCATGTTATTGATGGAGTTCCTCAATTTATGTTGGAAAAACACTCATTTTAAATGCAGACTGTCTCAGTCAAATCATGTAGCAATTCAGGATATATGAACAATGATCAAAGATTCATTGATTAAGGAATGTAGGTAGTGCAATGGAGATGGTCACTAGGTGGCTTAGTGAATAAAGTACTTGCTGTGGAGTTAGAATGGCTAGGTGGTATAGTGGATAGAGCACTAGGGCCAGGAGTCAGGAAGACCTGAGTTCAAATCCAGCCTCAGACACTAGCTGTGTGAGCCTGGGCAATTCACTTAATCCTGTTTGCCTCAGTTTCCTAGAAAAAGAAATGGCAAATTACTCTAGCATCTTTGCCAAGAAAACCCCAAAAGGGATCACTAAGAGTCAAACATGACTGAAAAATAACAACAACAACGACAACAGACTGGAGTTAAGAAGACCTGAATTCAAATCCTGCCTTAAATACTTCCTAGCTGTGTGAAACTGGGCAAATCACTTAACCTCTGTCTGCCTTAGTTTCCTCATATGTAAAATGGGAGTAATAGTAGTACCTACCTCCCAGAGTTTTCATGAGGATCAAATGAGGTAATACTCGTAAAGTGCTTTGCAAAGCTGTTATACTACCAGGGTTTCCTTGTTGATAAATATAATCTAAATCTTTGTCAATCCAATTATAATCTCTCCCATCCTGGTCTTTGCTCTGTTAACAGACTTGGAAGTGGATTGTGGGTCCCATGTTCCTGTATCTCTGTGAGAGGTTGGTGAGGTTTTGGAGATCACAGCAGAAGGTTGTCATCACTAAGGTAACCTTTGAAATGTTTAAAACCCTTCCTGTAATTGTTTCTAAGACCTTTGGAACATGAGTGGTCAGAATATCTAACAGCACTGTTGCCATATCCAGCTGTGTGTTCTGTATTATCTGCCCCTGACTGTTAGTTACTCAGCCCATTTTGGTCGCTTTCAGGATATTTAATGACATGGATGTAAGAGCAGACTTACAGTTCATCTGGGTGCATTTGTCTTGATGATCAAATAGGATGGACATAGTAAACCCTCCTTCTTCCCTCTTTTGCAGCTGCCAAATTGAATTTTTGAAGAAATTATTTTGTAAACCTCAAAGTGCTATATAAATGTGAGTTATTATTATTCAATCTAAAAATGTTAAAACACAGCACAAGAGCAAAACGGTGGAGAGGTGATGGAGTAGATAAGAGTAGAGAGACAAAAAGGAACTCTGATATGTAAAGACATGGTGAGCACTAAAAACTTAAATTTTCAAAGGGCCAGGGTAGGGCTGATGCATGTTGGTGATGTTTTCTCAAGTCTCCTTCACTTACTTTTTTTTTTGTACCATCAATATTTTCAAGTTCTGCAATTTTAACAAAATACCAACATTTCTCTCCTTGGTTTTCCCTTCCAACCTCTCTCTTGAGCTCTATAAATGATTGAGACTGATTGTCAAGTCTTGGCTCGTAGCCAGCTCCCACAGTTCTCCTCCCATGATGTTTACATTATTTATAAAAGAGGAAGGCAAAAGATCAGCAAAAATGTCTTTAACAAATAACCCCTCAGTAGGATAGCATATACTGATTCAGAGTATATTTCTTTAAAAAGCACTTCTAGTGAAGTCTGTTTCTTCTGTAAAGAAAACATATTCTTTCTTGTATAAATTAATATGCAGGATAATATACTTATTATCTGGCATCCTGTTAATTGTAACTCTACTCACTAGCATCATTGTGGAAGTAAAACCTGTCTGTCACTGTAGTTGCAAAGTTGCAACAAGGAAAATCTATTTTCTGTTTTCAGTATTCTAAAAGCTCACTTTTGAGCTTCAAAATAGGGTCTCATATCATCCTTTTCCATAGGGAAAAGAATAGTGTGTTTTTTTCCCCTATTTTTTAGTTTCAATTTCTTTCTGAAATGAATTCTGACAATGTAACCAGAGAAGGAAGAGAATGGTATCAATTGTTTTTTAGGTTATTATGAATCATTTATGTTTTTTATTCATTTTCTGTGGGTTAAAATAAAGTCTGTCCTATACCTCTTATTATGTGATTATGCATTATTACATTGAATATATATATATATGGGAGCTTGGAACTCTTTTACCCACATCTAAAGATATATAAACAGGAACTCGACTGAGATTTTCCCCAAGCAAACTCTGGGTGGGGGAGGTGCAAAGTGAGATAAAAAGAGAATGATTTAAGGCACCAGCTCCTAAGATTGAATCTGGGTCATGGTAGGCCATGAGTTACTCATTTTTGTTAGGATGTTCTGTTTTCTTAAAACAAAAGTATTTGTATCAAGAAGCTATTATTTTTCAGTGACTAAATAGCCTTTCACTCTTACAAATTCCAAAATTTATAGTTCTTATTTCTAGTTGTAAAGTTTTTATTGGTAGAATAAGAGCACTTTCAAGTCATCAGAGAAAGACTGTATTACACTGATTGTAGTTTCTATTACTCATATTGCATTTTCTTCTGGTTCTTTGAAAAATGGTTATGAAATTATGGTTATAGTGTGTTTATAGTAGGTCTTAACTAATTAGGATATTTGATTGAGCACAGTGTCCAGATCATGATAGATAACTGTTTACTTGCATATATTCTATGAAGTCTGCCCAAATAAGCCCAAGGAAATTAGTAGCTTCCTCCTCCCCAACACACGCACCACTAGATTCTGAAAGTTGTATTATTCCCTTATTAATTATAGATCAGCAAAAAGCAACATTTGCTCTTTGGTCATTGCAGTCATATCCAACTCTTGTTAACCCTTTTTGGGGTCGTCTTGGCAAAGATATTGGAGTGGTTTGCCATTTTCTTCTCCAGCTCATTTTATAGATGAGGAACTGAGGCAAACAGGCTTAAGTGACTTGCCCAGGGTCACACAGCTAGAAAGTGTCTGAGGCCAGATTTTGAACTCAGGAAGATGAGTCTTCCTGATTCAGGGCCTGGCACTCTATCTATCTACTGAGCCACCCAGCTGCCCCTGAAAGCAACATAACTGGACCTTATTATCTGACTTCTTTACAGAAATGCCTTCACTGGGTTATGATTTAATGTTATACCCTATGCCTTCAAAAAGACTGTTATAAAAATCATACAACTGAATGCATTTCTCTATCTTACTTTTGATACTAGGATTCTAGTTTGTCACTAGCTAATAGCGTGACCTTGAGGAAGCCATTTCTTTCCTCCTCTAAGGGTACTGGGTTAGATTATCTATAAGACCCTTTCCAACCTTAACATTGTCTGCCTCTAGGACATTGTCCACTCTGCTACCCAATGTCCCTCATATGAGGTCTCATGTTTTATCTCTGCAAATGAAATTATATACTTTATTTGCGCCCAGCACGAATACTCTGTAAATAGAATGTTGCTCTTTGTTTTTTGTCCTATCTACAATAAAAGAACCAAATTCAGTGCCCAGTTGTAGTAGAGTCAACTTATAGCAAATACAGCTAATGTGTGTGGGCTATAAGTTCATATTCTCTTATTCATTCATTCAAGTTGAGACAGATATCAAGGCTTGAAATCCACTGGAGTACTTTTATGAACCAACTTCATTCATTCATTCAACAAGCTTTTGTTAAGTCCCTACTATGTGCCATGTGCTGAATTGGGTGCTGGAGCTAAAACGATGAAAATGAAACAGTTACTGTCCTCAAGGAGCTTACATTCTATTTGTTCAAACAGGTGGTCACTCACCCTTTCAAAACCATTGAATTACAAATGAAGAAGAAGGGTTTTAAGATGGAAGTGGGACAATATATTTTTGTCAAATGCCCCAAGTTGTCAAATTTAGAATGGCACCCTTTCACACTGACTTCAGCCCCTGAGGAAGACTTCTTCAGTATTCACATCCGTATAGTTGGGGACTGGACAGAAGGTCTTTTTAAAGCTTGTGGATGTGACAAAACAGAATTTCAGGAAGCCTGGAAATTGCCCAAGTAAGTATAAAGTTCATAATATGAAGAAAATCTGTCAAAGAAAAGTAGAATTATTAAAACTTCTTCGACTTTAAGCTGATGTCTCATCTCCTCCCCAGCTCTTATCAGCTTTGGGTCTAGACTTTGTTGCTGTGAGGAGATTCTTAAGGAAATATTGAATGATCTATGTGTCCTCTCCCTCTTTTGTGTGGGTATATTTTTGTAAACTTTATGTGTACATAATTTTAATATGTTTTTGTTTATTTCATTAAATATTTCCCAACTGCATGCAATAAATTTTAATTTATTTTCTTTCTTAAATTTTGCATTCTAAATTCTCTCCCTCCCTCCCTTCCTCTCCCCCTTGAGAGGGCAAGCAGGATGATATTGATTATGTATGTGAAGTCATGCAAAACATATTTCTGTATTAGCCATGTTGCAAAAGAAAATGCTGTGTATACATATTTTATAAGCTTTGTGTGAGGTATGAAAATATTTGATATTTACTTTTACCATCAAAAATCCTCATTTTTCTCTGCAGAAATGGTTTTAGGGACATAGAATGTGGAACTGAAAGGGACTTCAGTCATTTCCCAGTTCATCCCCTTCATTTTATGAGGAAACTGAGGCTTAGAGAGGTGAATTATTGACTTGTCTATGGCCATAAGGACAGCAAACAGTAATAGAATATGTTTATAGGATTTTTCAGAATCTCTTAAAATTTAACAGGAGCAAGACAGAGGGGGTAAGCATAGCAGACCGTTCACACAGAGTGAATAAAGTTCAAGGGAGAGAGAGAGAGAGAGAAAGAGAGAGAGAGAGAGAGAGAGAGAGAGAGAGAGAGAGAGAGAGAGAGAGAGAGAGAGAGGAGGGAGGTTCATTCCCTGTACTGAGAAATGCTACAGTTGACTGAAATTTCCCCTTATGACTTTTGACTCCAGAGTTGTTAATAACGTATTTGGTGGGAATTGATGTATCTGACTTTCTCAATTGCTTGTTGAGATCCATTTCATCTCCAAACATGAATACCCCTTCACTGTGGTTGTGTCTAATTCCATAGGGTGGCAGTAGATGGGCCCTTTGGCACTGCTAGTGAGGATGTATTCAGCTATGAAGTGGTTATGCTGGTGGGAGCTGGCATTGGAGTCACACCATTTGCATCCGTTCTGAAGTCTGTCTGGTACAAGTACTGCAATGACTCAACCAGACTAAAACTCAAAAAGGTAGGTCCTCTTTTATTAAAAAATAAATTTAATTTTAATAACACTTTTTGTTTTTATTTAACTTTTATTTCTGCATATATCTTTCTCCCCATCCCTTTACAGTTAGCCACTCTTGGGGGGGGGGGGGAGAATCTTTTTAAACTTAAAAAAAAAGAGGAAAAAAACCAGTTTGGTAAAACTAATCAATTCTTCAATTGTGTGCATGGTTGTGGTTGCAGTTTGTCCTTTGTTCTCAAAGAGAACCATGATATCAGCGAGATGATGACATGACATGACATCAACTTTGATTTGAGTGAGGGAGAGCTATGCAAAGTCACCAGCCTCACTTTCTCCTCCAGAGCCATCTGGGTCCAGTGGCCAGATATTCATCAGGATGACAGGAGATGGCCCAGGATGGGCCAAGTGGGAGACCTTGGCCTTTTTAAGCTAAGGTCTTTTCAAGTTCTCACTTTGAGTGAGACAATGCCCATTCAGGAATAACCCCTTTAATAAAAATAAAATCAAACTGGGAGGTGAAGACCTTCAGGGATGCTGGCCATAAGAGGAACAGTTATTGTTTACATTTACTCTGAGCCAGGAGGGCCCAAAAAATAACCATTAAGTGGTGCTTGTATATACATTATTCCATATCCATACCATATCTCCCCACTTCTGCAGTGAGAGGGAAGCACATTTTCTCAACTCTTGTTTGAGGCCAAGCTTGGTTTTTATAATTACTCAGTATTTAGTGAGTGCTTTTTTTAGGGGAGGGGGAAGAGGGGTATGTCTTTCCATTTAGATTGTAGACATCATGCATATTGTTTTCCTGATTCTGTTTCCATCCCTCTGCATCAGTTGATATGTCTTCCCATGGTTCTATAAACTATTCATATTCATTGTTTTTTTGTGATGAAGTAGTATTCTATTAGATTCATGTGTCACAATTTGTTTCCCCAAATGATAGGTCTCCTTTTTTTAGGAAGCAACTTTCAGAAGTCCTGTGATGGCCATCATTTCCTTTACACCCAGGAAGATTCCTAGGGAGAACAAAAATGAGGGGATTTTGTTTTTGGCCAGACTAGAGAAAGCGAGAAATCATTTTAATGGCTGGTTAAAAGTAATCTCCACCCCAGTGTTGTTAGAAAAATGAAAGATGACTATTCTCATGGGACTTTCTATTATATGTACTTTCCATCCTTAATGAAAGTTATAGTTACGGTCATCTTTATTGAGGGGGAGGAGAATCTATAGCACTCTTTACGTGGGGGCCACCCCTGCTGCTAATCTTCTTTCTGTGGATGAACTTAAAGAAGGGCAGGTGATTACATGATTTACTCCTCTGTGAATCTGTTAAGTCTGGCCCCTCCTCCCACCACCATCCTCTAGTAGAATGAATACTGGAAGGTGGGACTTATTTGTTCTTGTCTTTGCATCTCCAACATCAAGCATAATTCTTGGTATAGAAATTTTTTTTTTTGAGTAGCAATTGAAGCACAAACTCATTACACAATGAAATAAAAGATAATAAAAATATAATGAAGCAATGAAGTAAATGAACTAATGAAGTAAAAACTTATTAAACAATGACATAAAAGATAAAAAATAACCTTTTGTGAAGGTTAAATATTTCTAATAGGTATGAACTCTGAGAGAAAAACCAATTAGTCTGCTTTCAATTTTATTCTTCCATTTTTGTCTCTAATTTTTTTAGGAGATGAGGACTTAGAAAAAAGGATTTTTTTCTAGCGTTTTACTAACTCCTAAGCCTAGCAGCCAAGAAATGAAACCTACTTGTAAATGTCTGTATTCTTCCAGACTCATGAAAGGAGGAAGGGTGTATAGGAGACAATGGGCACCACGGGAGGGGAAGGGAAATTACTAAATGGAGGAAGAGACCGAGCAAAAATAGGTCAAATGAAAATTTGCTGAACCTAATGTTTTCTTTCTTTTTAGTTACAGTTAAAAAAAAAACCCCAACATCATAATGATCTCTGAGCAACCCTTTCCCGCCCATTGAACCCTCCCTTGTAACAAAGAAAAACTTATTTAGCAGCATTCCATACCCGTAGTCCCTCACCTCTCTACCATTTCATAATCTGTTTTCCAAAACCAAAAGAGTTCATTGCCATTTGTCTGAATTCAACTTATATTTTAATATTTTCATTTGCAGTGTTGTTACCACTGTGTTTATTGTTTTCTTGTTTCTACTTTCCTTATTGTGGATAACTTCATAAAATCTTCTCATGTTTCTCTGAATTCCTAATATTTATCACTTCTGATGTCAATAATATTTACATTCTTATTACACAATTTTTTCCTCATTCCCTAAATGAATGTGAAAACCAACCTGAAGAGTTTTTTTTTTAAAGTTGTTTATTTGCAAGGCTGAAAAACATCCTTTTAAACTTCCTCATGTAATGCCAGATTTAACACTAAGAGATAAATATGAGCCAGATTATACTGTCATGACAGACTAGCAAGTTGATTTTGTGGAAACATGGCATACTCAAAGAGCTCTGGATTTGGAGTCGAAGGACTTGAGTTCAAATCTAAATCCTAGTGCTTACTCCTAGCGGGAACTTGGGCCAGCAGTGTACCTTTTGGGGTTCAGTTCATCTTCTAGAAAATGTAAGTGCTCATAGGAAAACAGTAGACATAATAACCACAGTAATGTAAATGCAAATAACACTAAAAGACAGCTGAAATCAGACATCTAACAGTGAATGGTGACGCAGGAAAGGGCTACGATAGCCAAATGTTGCATATACTCTCAAGTGGTCGTGGTGTTGGACAATTTTACCAATGTTTTTCTTTGTTGCAAGGGAGAGTTATATTCTATGGGGACAGTATAACAGGAAATAACTTTATAGAAAACAAAAAAGGTATCAATCAATTAAACAAATAAAATAAAATAAACATTAGGGTTTTGGACTAAATCACAGAATTTCATAGTCTATTGAGACCTCAGAGGTCACTATTCCAACTGGTACCTGAACAGGAATCCCCTGTATAACATTCCTGACAAATGGCCATCCAACCTCTTCTTACAGACCTCCAGTGAGAGACAGCCTAGGTCAGGCTTCAAAGTTGTACCACATAAGGACTGATTGAAACAACTGTGGAATTTTTGTGGGGGGCAAGAGAGAGAGACAGAGAGAGTGAAGGAGAAAGACGAGAGAGAGAGAGAGAGAGAGAGAGAGAGAGAGAGAGAGAGAGAGACAGATGGGAGAAGGGGGAGGGAGAGAGAGAAGAAGGGAGGGAGACAGAGAGAGACAAACAGAGAGAGAGACACAGAGAGAGACAGATAGACACAGAGAGAGAGAGAGAGAGAGAGAGACAGAGAGAGAGGGGGGAAGGGAAGGAGAGAGACAGAGAGAGACAGAGAAGGAGGGAAGGAGGGAGGGAGAGAGACAGAGAGGTAGAGCAGAGAGGGAGAGAGGGAGGGAAGGAGAGGGAGGAGAGATTTAGGATTAATGTACAGAAAAACTTTCTAAGAATTGTAGCTATCAAAGTGTAATGCATGGAAACCTCAGGAGGCAGTAGGTCCTCTCCTCCTCCCTCCTCCCCACCCCCATCTAACTGCAGGTCTTCAAGTACTGTCTGGATGACCACTTGATGCATGTTCTATAGAGGATATTCTTATTTACATAGATTATGGACTATCTGTCTTCTAAGATGTCTTCCAATTCTGAGATTCTGTGATTAAAGGACAAGATCCTGCAGGGAAGTGAACACTGGATTTAGTCAGAAGAACTGGATTAAGATTCTGACGTTGAATTTGCTGCACATGTAACCTTGGGCATATCACATAACCTTTCTGGGCCTTAGTTTCCTCATTTCTAAAATTAGAGGATTGGATCAAATTACCTCTGAGAGCTCTTCCAGCTCAGAAGCTATGAACCTGAGGCAATTCATTCCACTTTTGTACAGCTCTGATTATTAGTAAGTTATTCCTTACATCAAGTCTAAATCTACTTCTCTGTCATTTCTATTATTATTATTATTATTCTGAACTTAAAAACAAAAAAGTGCACTTCCGTACATATCATAAAAAAGAGGATTCTATATGAAACTGTGAATCTTCATTTCAGACTATTGGCTTTCTTTTTCAAAGTATGTAATAAATTGTATATGTCACTTTCAAAATGGTCCTTATTGTTTGTGCTTCCTTCTGAACTTCTGTCCATTAAAAAAAAAGTCACAATGGCTCTTTTTTTCCTTTAGCATCACTATTGCTAACTTCATATTCCTTCCTGGGCCCCTCCCATATAATTAACCAGGAGAAAGGGGAGAAAAAAGCTTGTGAAGCATAAACATAGTCAGACAAAATTAATCCTGTACTGTGGCCATGTCCAAAAATGTGACTCTCTTCACCTTGTATTCATTCCTCTTTGTTAAGAGGTGGGGAACATGCTTCCTCATCAGTCTTCTGAAGACTTGGCTGGTCATTGCATTGATCAGAGCTCATAACTTTTTTGCTTTTCTTAATGATGTTGCTGTCTTTCACAGGTTATTTTTCTGGTTCTGCTCATTTCACTCTGTCAGTTCATAATACCCAAGGTTCTCTAAAATCTTCTCTTTCGTAATTTCTTACACCACAATAATATCTCATGACATTCATATGACACAATTTGTTCAACAATTCCTCAATTGTCTAACAGGCAGTCTAAGAATTCTCCCCACTCCACCCCCTCTTAAATTCTAGGTCTTTCTCTCCTCTCTTCTTTTTCGTGTCTCCTTTCCTCTTTTCTCCTCTCCTTTCCCTTCTCTTTTTTTTCTTTAAAAAAATCCCAGAATCAAGAAGTTTGTTTTGCTTGTGACTATTTTCCTTCCAATGTTATCTCTCCTTTGCCTCCATCCCCACTTGTCCATGTTTATTTCCCTGTTGAATTTTGTTGAGTTTAATGTATTTATAAACCAAACTGTGTTCAATCCTTTTTCATCCATTTCTAATGAGAGTGAGGTTCATTTGATGCCTACCCCCTCTACCTCTTTCTCCTTGTTTGTATATTCTTCTCACA